GCAGGCTGCGAGTTCGCAGCTGCTGTGGCGCCTGGGGGCTTACCAAAGGAAATCTGGTTCAATCCCTGTCTGCTTCTCCCTACTAGTCCTAATTCCAACGCGTTTCCAGCAGGGTAGTGGCAGGGGGCTGCAGCAACGGAAAGGGGAGACCTATCCCTACCATGTGCTAATGCAGCTGAGTCGACACAGGATGGGCTTTAGCCTGATATTTTGTCCCTTTCTCGCTGCTAGCTTTTGATGTAAGCCTGGCCTCTTCCACATTTCTGACAAGGAAAGTTAACCCTGTTCTCAGGATCTTAGGACTTGGATTTTTTGCTGTTGTAAGCATCTTTCATTTTTTTAAATCACTCAGAGTCACCATGTACTCATCCATAAAACAGGTCTGACTGCTGCCTCTGATTGCTTTTGATTGTCACCTTGTGCAAAGTTCTATTAGGTGTATGGATTATGGGATTTAGTTACCAGTTATAAAACTGCAAATAAGCACAATATTTAAAATAAGTTTCCTTCTTCCGGTACCAGGGATGGTCAAGTAATCCTAACAATCTACAGGGCCTATATTAAATTACTGAGAAAATATTAAGACAGATACTGAACAGCTGTAGCTAGCAACCTTCATGCCCTATAAATGACAGTAAGGGGGCTCGCCTGGCTCCAAGTGACAGCTATCTAGATTAGTGGTCTCTAACCTTTTTACATCCAAGAGCACTTCTAAATGTCAGAACAAGCCAACATGTACCACCCCATCCTTCCCCCAAAATCCCACCCCCTCCTTGAAGCCCCACCCTCTGTTCTCCTCTCCATCACTTGCTGTCCCCAGCCCTTACACACACTCAGGCTACATCTATACTGGCAGCATCTTGCATAAGAACTGTTCTGGAAGAGTTCTTGTGCAAAAACTCTTCCACAAGGGAGTGTCTACACTGGCATGTGCTTTTGCACAAGAGCATCCATGGCAGTGTAGACGTTCTCTTGTGCAAGAAAGTCCAATTCTGGGTCCCCCATTACAGAAAGGATGTGGACGCATTGTAAAGTCCAGCAGAAGGCAACAAAAATGATTAGAGGGCTGGAGCACATGACTTAAGAGAAGAGGCTGAAGGATTTGATAGCAGCCTTTAACTACATGAAGGGGGGTTCCAAAGAGGATGGAGAGAGGCTCTTCTCAGGGGTGACAGCTGACAGAACAAGAGGCAGTCATCTCAAGTTGCAGTGCAGGAGGTCTAGGTTGGATATTAGGAAAAACTATTTCACAAGGAGGCTGGTGAAGCACTGGAATGGGTTACTTAGGAAGGCGGTAGAATCTCCATCCCTAGAGGTTTTTAAATTCTATATTGACAAAGATCTGGCTGGGAGGATTTAGTTAAGGTTGGTCCTGCTTTGGGCAGAGGGTTGGGCTCTACCTTCTGAAGCCTCTTCCAACCCTATGATTCTGTGTTAATTATTTGTATTGTTGTAACTCTTAAGAGCCCTAGTTACTGACCTGGACTAAACACTATGCAGACATGGTTTCCCATCACAGTTTATAGGCTAAATTCACAAGGAATCATTTCTAAGAGTAAGAGGGTGAAATTCTCTTTTCATAGTCCAATAAATTTCTTGGCATCTCCACTGGCATTGCCAAAAAGCAGACTAAGTAATTCCAATTCTGGTAATGGTTTTGTAACATGGATACTTCTTCACTATGAACTCAACAGAGGTAAGGGCTTGTCCACAAGAACATTCAAGTCACAGCAAGATAGTGTGTGACTCTGCCCACACATATTTACAGTTAATTGGTTCACTTTGATTTAGTCCTCTTTGGAATGGGACTACATAAATTCATATTACCCAACTGAGACTACGTCGGCCAAGGACAAACACACAGTCCATAGCAGGTTGGTGTGTAGGGCAGATTTGCATCCCAGCTTGCTACAAACTAATTGTGTAGACAAGCCATTAGCACCATCATGCACCAAAAAAAACAGCCATCAGATGATAGTAATTTTTACTCACTTATCTTGGGTGAATTTGAATTGGTATTGTGCGTTCCAATACATATTCTCTGAGCCTGGCAATCCCTTCTTCAAATCACTTATTTTATTTTTGTATTTGTTTAGGTTAACACAAATTTTTCCAAACAACTTTTGACTGTTGATCTCAGAAAAGTATTTGTTGCGAAGCTTGTGTTTCTCAAATTTTAAACAACTCATTAGTATTATAAAACAAATATACAAACTTTTATTATTTAAAGAAAATAGCTCAAAGATTACAATAGTTTTGGTCATATTTAAAATGTCATCCATGAATAAAAGTGATAGTTGCTCTACAAACATGGCCACGTAAGTAAGTTTTCATATTTGTTAATAGCAGCTAAGTTACACACACAGTTCTGAATACCATGCAAGCTCTGTTGCGTTCCATACATTCATTATAAAGTTGCAGTTATGTTCATGCCAAATAATCACCTAAACGGCCAAAATTAAACAGAAAAATCATTAATAAATACAGGCAACTAAACTTTAATAAAAAAATTTGGCATTACACCATCCAAGAAATGCTGTGCTTTCTCCATTCTCCTTAAGTGGCATTTAGTAGTGTTAAGCATTATTCTAAAAAAAATACAACTCTGTTTTACAACATAGTACTGGCATAACACAAAGTATTTTGCCAATTATAAATAATATAATCAAGTTCCAAAGAGTGCCATTGGAAAGGAACCTACACACACACACACACACGCTATTCATGTAATGAAAACTGTTATAAAAACAAACATGTTTACTCCCATGCCAGCTTGTACTACAGAGGTGGGATTCAATTCCCATCTTGAAGAATTACAGTTCATGGATAAACACAGTTTCTGGGAAAAAATAAGACAAAAATTTACTTTCACCAGAATACACATCACTTTACCATTCTTCACTGGATAATCCATTTGTCAGTCATAACTGACATGAATTGGTCCTTTTGATTTTTTTGTTTCTTTGAAGGCCTTGCAAATAAAAAGCGTGGTCCCCAGCCTTTATAAAAATTCAGTCAGCTGCTGCTCAATGCAGAATAATCCTACACATTGCTTCTACCTAGAGTAATCTTCATTATCTGTCATACGCAACTGCAGATCGTCACATCTTCCATTGTGACTCAATGTGCAAGCTACAAGTAGAGAAGTGCTTGGATTCTCAGTCACTTCAAAAACACTTGTTGAAGCTGGCCTTCAGTACATATTTGAGTTGAAAATCTTTTCACTGTTCATAATGGTTTGTCAATAACTGTAACACCTGCAGAATAAGAGAATCACAACATTAAAATGCAAGTTTGACTGTGTCTTTTCAAAACAGACAAACTTCCAAAAGTACCACAAGAAATACAAGCCTTCATACAATGATTTACATCTATCAAAAAGGTCTGATTATCAGTAGCATAACATCTCTATCATGCACTTGTTTACACACTTTGTTTCCCAAAAATGTAAGGTAAGATCCTTGATGCATCTGATTTACATTGGGTGGATGCCTATCACATCTAAAGATCAAGCTCATTTAGAGTGTCTGAGACTGGCTCCTTTAAAGCGTGTCCTGCTATCCACAAAATCAGATCCGTAAGTATGCCTCCAGCTGCTTTAACATAAATTTGTAGTTTTTAGTGTATACCAAAGGGAAACGTGTTATCCAAAATAGCCAGATTTTTTTCATACCATTTTAGTACAATATTTTGCTTTTAAATTAGTTTAAGAAATAACTATTTCTATTCAGATAGTGCCTAGAAGTCCTAATCCTTGACCTGGGCCAGGGACTGTATAAAAATAAACTTTCAAAATAGGTCTCAGTACAACAGATTTTTTACCTGGTAAATTTTACTCTTTGGATGTTGTATCAAACACCTCATTTAAAATGCTACTTACAAATCAGTTGTGAGTAGTTTAAAAACTATATACCCATTACCTGCATAGCTCCTTCCAGTACTCATACAAGATGACACAACTGTCCATTTATCAGTTGTTGGGTTATAATATTCCACTGTTGACAAGTTACAGGAACCATCGTCTCCTCCAACTACATACAACAACCCATTTACAGCACAAACTCCTATTAAAAAGGAAAATAGCTGCAATAAGATAGTTTACAGAATATGCACACCTATTTGCTTCCTTACATAGTGGAATTGTGCCTTCAATTTTGAGACTTTAGTACAGAAACAAATGTGAAAGAGGTAAAAGCATTTATAGAACAGATACCTAACCACATTACTAGCATTCTAAAAAATGATATTTCTAACTACAGTATATACCTGCATTCCTTCTGCACATGTTCATATCTGCAACCTGCCTCCATGTATTGGTGGCAGGGGGAGA